CTGTTCTTCTAACTACAGTGTTAAAATATAGTGAAGGGATTTATTGATCAAATGCCAGAAGTTTAACATATAGTTTAATGAAATAAGGATAAAGATGATTGTGTTCTCACCCAGACTCTCTTATTCTAGAGAAAAAGAAAAAACCCTTTCCAACTGAACTGTCTAAATTTGACAACATGACCTTTCTCAATATTAGTACCTATGGACCCTTCCTTCTGACTGGCTTCCCTGGCCTGGAGGACTCATATCCAGTGTTCTCCATATTGTTCTGTTTTCTCTATGCCATTGCTCTGATGGGAAACAGCCTCATCTTAGTGGTTATTTGGGTGGAGCCAGCCCTTCACACACCCATGTACCTTTTTCTCTCCATGCTGGCCACCAGTGACCTGGGACTCTGTGCTACCACCTTGCCATCTCTGCTAAAACTTTTTTGGTTCAATGACCGTGAAGTACACTTTGATGCCTGCCTCACTCAGATGTTTTTTATTCATCTTTTCTCCCTAATGGAATCAGGCATCCTGTTCGCCATGGCTTTTGACCGCTATGTGGCCATCTCTAACCCACTAAGGTACACTACTATTTTGACTAATGTGAACATTGCTAAGATAGCTCTGGGTCTTTCACTGCGGGCTGTGTCTGTCACCTGTCCAGGACCACTTCTCATCAGGCGGTTGAGATTTTGTGAGGCCAATGTGCTGTCCCACTCCTACTGTCTACACCCAGACATCATCAAGCTCTCCTGCTCTGACCACCACCTTAGTAGTATTTATGGCCTCATCATTGTTATCATCACCTTTGGAATGGACTCTGCATTCATTCTTCTGTCTTATGTGAAGATACTGATCACTGTATTGGGCATTGCCTCCCGGGTGGAACAGTTCAAGGCTCTCCACACTTGTGTCTCCCACCTCTGTGCTGTGCTGCTAGTCTATGTCCCCATGCTGGGAGTGTCTATCATCCATCGCTTTGGGAAGCATGTTCCACCTGTGGTCTCCATTATAATGGGATATGTTTACCTCCTGGTACCTCCTGTCCTCAACCCTGTTGTGTACTGCATTAAGACCCGGGAGATAAGAACTCGCATTTGGGGCAATCTACTAAAATCACAGTAGTGAAGAATTCAGGGTGTTTTGTAGATTTCTTGGATCACCCTTCCCCTTGTGAAATTACTATTAACTTGTACAATAAAATCATTGATTATGTAGTGCTTTTTTATTTTAACTACCTTCATGTACACGGTTTCTACTATTATAAAATATTTTAATTTGTTATATTTCTAATTGATAAATTATAACTGTAATGGGCACAATGTTATATCCCATGTAAACATTGTGCAATAATGGAATCAGGTCACACCATGTTCATTTACAAACGTGTTTGTTGTGTAAACGTTCAAAATCTCCACCAAACGCTTTGAAGCATCCAATACTTGCAGGTAGATTTTTGCCTACTACCACCATATTCTACAATAGGTTCTACATCTTTTTCTTCTGAATTGTACTTATTAATTTAATGGCTTCTGTTCCCCAACGTTTTTTATGTGAAAGGTACAATATTTGTGCACTCTAATCTCCTCAAGTAGCTTAAGTAAAACCGACGACTGTACTACTAAACAGTAAGCACTTCCTGATGCCTGTCCTTGGGGAGTCTCTCGTATGCATGTAAACTGGTGTTGGAAGTTTGTGAGGGAATATTTCAGCATTCATTCATTACTGGGTATGTTATAGCCTGATTTCATGCAAAGTATTAACTTATAGCCTAGTGATTATGTATAAATACTCCTCTTTTCCTAATTTTCTATTTATTCTGAAATTGTATTTAATGGGCATTTTCTTTATATATATTATATGATGTATATATATATATGCATTTCTCACTCTATATGTTTGTATAAATATATATATATATATGGACTAAGAGAGTTTCATGCATGAGTATTGTATTTACATCATCCAGCCCTCCCTATTCCTTCTCTAATTTCTTTCACATCACTTCATTCCTCTCACTTCATGACCTGTTCTTTGATTATTATTGTTTTACACACACACACACACACACACACACACAAACATATGTATATGTATATAAATTGTACTGAGTCTCTTGTTTCTCCAGTTTGTTTAAATATTTTGTGTTTTAAGATTTAGGTTTTTTAGTTTTTTAATTTCATATAGAGATGGATTTATTTTGTGTTTGATTTTATTTTTTATACTTCAAAAATGTTTAATATTTCAACCTATTTCACTTGCATTAATGAGTACATATATAAAATTCAGAAACCAAGGCAGAAATTAAAAGTTTAAAGAAATATGCATTAAATGAATCATGAAATGAATGAATGGTTACACAGAATTGGAGACGAGCACAGGTTAAAAACTCGAGACTATTACATAAAGAAATTGAATAAATCATAAACTGGTGGATGAATCCATATGGGTATTTATAATAAGACACTATCCTGTGAACATAAACACCAAGTTGAGACTGACACTTGTTTCTGGAATAGTGGAGTAAAAATCAAGGGAACCCTTGGCAGTTGATAGCTGGCATATGAGGGGAATCATTCTTTTTCAGAAGCAATGGATATTTGGTATATTTTCCATGCTCAAGGATGGCCTCACACACATGCACATATGAGCCCCAATATTATATATATATATATATATATCAACATGGGTTGTACATGGTGGGGCAAAACCTTAATCCCAGCATTCAGGAGGCAGAGACAGGTTGAAGTCTGTGAGTTGGAAGGCAGTGTACATAGAGTCAGTTTTGGCTACACTGAGACTGTCTCAAAAAACAAAACAAGGGCTTGAGATACGTTTCAATGGTTAAGAACACTGACTGCTCTGGCAGAGGACTTCAGTTCGATTCCCAGTAGCCACATGGCAGTTAAAAACCGTTCTTAACTCCTGTTCCTGGGGATCTAAAGCCCGCTTCTGACCTCTGTGGGCGCTACATGGCAGAGGTACACTTACATACACGCAGGCAATACACTGGTACACATAAAATAAAAATGATAAAACATTAAAGCACAGCAGCAGAGGAAGCTGAAGAGGAGGAGGAAGAGGAAGAGGACATGAGGTGAGGGGACAAGTTAGAGGGAATATGGGGAGAGTGGAGGTGGAAATGGGGAATAGATATGAAAGTTATAACCAAAGAGTAAAATGATCAGTATATTTCTTTAAGAGTTCAAGGGATTATCTACCCAGGCATTAGGCTTAAGTCCATATAAATTGTTACACAATTATTTCTCATTGATAATTTTCCTTCTAATCAGAACATGCTGCTCAGATATAAGACTTCAAATCTTGGTCTGCAATACTGTAGTGCCACCTGTAGCTAAAGGAGATAACCCATTATTGTTCTAAAATGATGGCTAAACTTGTTTTCTCCCCCTATCTAGAAGCCTTTGAGAAGGAACTGACACTGATTCTAACCACTCCAACAGCTATCAAAGTGCCTGAAAACAAATCCTGAATCCATCACTTTCAAGTCCAGCCTTGGCAGACAAAAGAAAGATGAGGAGGAACCCAATAGAGGGATGATTTTGGAAGCTCTCGCCAGGAAATTCCAATGGACTCTGATATGAATATTTTAAATTTGCCCAGTTCTGACTTTTTTCTGGTTCCCTGTCTAGAACTTGTAATGCTAACTACTCTTGCCTTTACTTCTCCTTCACATCTCCTAGGCACCAGTCAAGGACCTTCTTTTCACCCTACAGATAAGAGTTATGCAACTTGGGAGTTTTTTAGATAGACCCACTGAAGGGGTATCACAGTTGCCTCACCCTGCATCTTGTTCAGCATGGAAGAAGCCAGAGTGGTCTGCATCCAAATTTCCTATTGGTAATTTGAGTAACCTCTTCAGAGGATGGTGTGATAAGAATAGGAGGTAGGAACTGGCTAGAGAGTTGGGGTAAAAATACCCCCCCAAAAAGTAGTCAGTTTCTTGGCTAAAAGTTGAAATGTCTTTAGGCCTCTTAGAAACATACTCTGTTCCAAAGGACAAAAATGTCAAAAGTATTTGGGAGCTTTTACCTAATCCCTAAAAGATTTTAGGGTTACCTCTTCAGAGGGGGGAATGCTAGAGTAGTAAAAAGTCCCATTAAAAAAAAGAAAGAGTACATGAAGTTGTCAGAAAAACAGTGATGGGGAGATATGGGAGGAGTTGGAATGGAGGGAGTGGGGGTGGATTTGATCAAAATACCTTATATGCATGTATGAAATCCTCAATAAAAATTTTTTTTGGTCTTTTTGAGACAGGGTCTCTCTATAGCCCCAGCTGTCCTGAAACTCACTATGTAGACCAGGGTGGCCTTGAACTCACAGAGATCCACCTGCTTCTGCCTCCTGAGTGCTGGGATCAAAGGCGTGTGCCACCACGCCCGGCTCAATAAATTTTTTTAAAGTAAAATAATTTCATTATATATATATGTGTAAAATTCTCATAATAAAGTTTGTTTAAACAAATAAATATAAAATTGGTTTTAAAACTTTTAATCTATAAAAATAGTGAGTAAAAAATTGAGTGCTCTTTATCAAAAACAGCAGCATGAATTTTTGTTTGATTTTTTCTGACTGATAACAAGTTATACCTCAAAATGTATAACAAAGTATCAAGAAAAGGCTCCTCAAAAGGTTAGATGTGTCACTATGACCCCATAGTGAAAGACCTATGAACTAAAAAGTCTCAATATTTCATTTCCTACAATATGACAAAGAACAATAAAATTAATATTCAAAATATTTGGAGTCCATATATAACACCGCAATTATCCGCTCAAGTCTATAGGTTATATTGGTTTTAAATTTCGGTGATGGAGATTCCACAGTCTTGGGTCTTTAAACTGGTTTTGTCTTCCAGAAGATTTGAAATTAAAAAAGCAAAAAACAACAACAAAAAAAAAAACGGACATGTTGTACTGTGTTTGGTAACTGTTGCATAGGCCTGTGCTAATGTCACACTACTATACTGAGCTTGCAGAACTATTCTTTATGCCATAACTTGTTTCATGCTTTTAACGAGCTTTAATGAGTTATGAACTTCACAAGTGTTTTCCAAGTAATTCCCCTCATTATGTTGAAAGGAAGAGCAGAAGAGTTTTGGGTTACATATTTGTATTTCCTTGAGTCAGCTTGAATCTCATAAAATCACAGTGATATGGCACCTTCTTGACCATAGCTATGCCATGTTAAGTTTAGGCTGATTCTAGTCTCTAAAATTATCAGGTGGTTGACCCAGGGTATGGGAATACATGTCAGGAGGACCCCATTGTCTTGGGAATAGGTTAGTGTGTTCCAAATTGATAACATGCTAACTGCAGATTTATGACTTCTGTGGGTTATGATTGGCTTGTTTCTGAAAAATAGTAATTGTTTCTTAATAGAATAGAAAATGTTAAGGGGCCTCTCCATCTGTAAGCTTGGGAACTTAAACTTTTCACCCCTGAGAGTGGATTTTCTGTATAAAAGCTTACTCTAGAGATGGCTCAGGCCTACTTGGGTTCTGACACCTTTGTGTAGCTGTTAGCCAGAAAAGACTTTAGTTCAACAAAATTATCTGAGGGGTCTTCTCCAGTGAAGCACCTCACAACATTTTTGGAGGTTCTACCGAGATCCCAGAGAATTAAACCTCAGACCCTGGGGTACCAGAACAGGGAAGAAAAGTAGGTCTGGGGGTATCCCTTGAGAAGTTCCAAGGCCTCAGGATTTCTGCTCCCTGCTGCCCTGCTGTTCCAGGGGTTTTTGATATCCCCACCCCAAAAGATTTTTGAAGAAAGTCACCTGTTTCTGGAAGACTGTGGAGGTAAGTTAGTCTGAGGCGCCCTCAGGAGAACAGTTAGAGGGGAGGCTGGATGCAGCCACTGACCTGGTGTCCAGAGGTCAGCAAGACGTTACTGACTGTCCTCTGTAACAAACCTGAATGTTTTGTGTAATGGCCATCTTGTAAATGTTTTGATGTTGTCGTATTTGTGCTGGTCTCATTTGCTGTCTTTTCTATCAATCTGTCATTTATGACTTGGAGCAAGTTGACTCCTCTAAAGTGTATACTTAAGTATGTTACAGGTGGTTTTGATTCATCCACCTCTAGGTTGCTGGCTGCAGTTGGG